CTTTGAACCGGGCTGGGGCTCAAGGTTTCGGGTGTTTCGCTTCAGGGTTCTTCTACGAAAAGGCAGCATGAGGATCCTGGGGAAGCTTGGGGGGGGAGGGGGAGGGGCATGTGAGTTGCATGTGAGTGTGGTCTAGGGCCCTAGAGCGTGGGGTGAAGAGTTCAGGTTTCCGCGGCCCGGAACAATTGAACAGCAATGTCTTGGTTCCTACACCGGTGTCAACATGTGGGCAAGGGCACTTCATCTGAGGATTGACCGCTATGACGTCGTGGAGGCCCGCATGGGTTCCCTTCGAATTCAAAGCCGTCAGGACTTGAAGGTGTACGGCGTTTTGCGGAGCTTGGCATTTCGGATGGTTTGTCGGTGTCAGGGCAAGCAGGGTGAGGAATGGGTGGCAGTGAGAGCTCACCTCAATCTGGTCTCGTCGAGCCAGAGCCGAAATCTTCTGCAAGATCGGCTTTTGTCCGCATAGTGCGACTGTCATGGGTGAAAAACGGCAATAGCACGGGCCCCATGTAAACGTTGCAAAATGCTTGCTTGCACACTCCTCAGGGCAACCGTTCGCGTCAAGCGTCTCTGGTAATGTACAACCTTGCGGGAAACGCAGCAGCACCAGATGAAAATTTGTGTTCGAAGGTGGCTGGAGGGAGAAACAGGGACTGTTGCCTGCATCACTGAAAAAGTTGCAAAATGTGGCAAACATCCGTTTCCCAGGAAAAAGCTTGATCTGACATGCGCCAAGTCCGCTGTAGTTCCCAAACCCGAATCCTCGAAAACTCAGGACGCGCAATAAGACGCTCTGAAGCTCAGAGGGTTTTGTGCAAGCTGCATGCTCAGCTACCGCCACGCTTTTCCAAGGACTTCTTGGCGACACACACACACACACTTACACAGACACAGAGACACAGAGACACAGAGACACAGAGACACAGAGACACAGAGACACAGAGACAGACACACAGACACACTGACACACTGACACACAGACACACAGACACACAGACACACACACACACACACACACACACACACACACACACACACAGAGACCGCGACAACGACCGAAACCCCAAACTTCAGTGGCCTGTTTGCACATTCTGGTTTGAGAATGTAGAGACCAAGTCTCAGGGTGCAACTAGGCAGGACTTCTGCCTATGCTTCCGTTGTGGCAGGAGGATTCAGGGTTCCATCTATGGGGTCACTTTTTCTGTGCGGGCGGGCCACAACTTAGAGGTTCTGGCAACAGCGCAGGAGCCATGTGATCCAGACAACCCCCTTGCCAAGGGCGGCCCAGCGGCAATTAGACGGAAAGTCAAGACGCTCGTGGAAGAAATCCTGTAGTGAGACAGTTGCTACAGTGGGTAGTCAATAAGCCCAGCCCATTACAAACCTTGAAAGGGGTTGGGACCCCTTTTGTTCAGGGCAACACCCTGACACCCCTTCTGAAGCCCTAAACCCCTGTGATCCCCAAGAGCCCCTCCACCCTCTCAAACCCACGCGCCCAAATAAGCCCGGGAACCCTGAACACGTCAAAAAGATGCCCGAAAGCCCCAAAGGTCTCGGAGTCATCAAGGCCCGCATCTCCCTGCTGAGTCAGAGTACCCATGTGGAGTGACCCAGCGCAGTGGGCTTTTAGGGTTTAGGGTTTTTGGGTTTAGGGTTCGGGGTTTAGGGTTCAGGGTTCACGGTTTAGGGTTGTCCGGGTTTAGGATTGTCAGGGTTCAAGTTTCAGAGGAGTTTATTGGGCTTAGTGGGTTCAGTTTTTTTTTGGTGGGTCTGGGGTTCAGGAGTTTTCGTTGGGCTGTTTAGGGGCCGGTTTTGATGTTGGGTTGAGGGTCGCTCCAGACCCTAAAGCCTGCAGAAGCTTGGCAGCTGCAAAGATTCCGCCATCAGCCCTTACCTAAGTGACCAGCTCAACTCCATGAGCCAGGAACCTCACCTCAGGCTAAGAGTTTGGGGCTTAAGACCCTACACCCTAAACCCTGAAACCTGAACCCTGAACCCCAGACCCTAAACCCTAAACCCTAAACCCTTCGAGGACAGCGGCCTCAGGGTTTATAGACAACGATCCCGCAACCCAACCACCAGCTAAAGGGGAGGGAGCGGCTGCCAGAAGCATGCCAAAGCTGTCGCAAAAACTGGATCACAGCTCTTAGCATTGTTTGCGTGGGATGCATCCGGACATCGTTCAGAACCATTGAGGACATTGCGCTGACAGGGTAGATCCGTACAGATAGTGCGTGCATTGCCACTGCCACGACCTGATTTTGGTTTCGGGTTCCCGGTTCCCTTCCTTCTCGTTCAGGGGGTATTTGTGGGTCAAAGGTTGTGAGAGTGGAAATTGCAGCGTCCGCGCATGAGCAGCCTCCGAGACTCCCTGTAAAGGTACAACATCAGAGTGCAGCACGAGGGCAAATACCACATGGTGCTCTTCTCAGATCCTGAAGAGCGCAACCCTCTTCTTTGTGGGACTTGCAAAGCTTCCAGGCCACAAGACCCGAAGCCAGAAGAGCAGCCGTCCCTCCTAATGTCGAGGATGCCTAAGGCCACCGCCTACTGTTTTTAGCTTGGTGTAGGAATACAGTGTCATGTACCCTTCTTCTTCTTCTTTTCTTCTTCACGTGTTGCAACCTGCTTTCCGAGTTGCAGGCGATCCAGAACTTACGTGTTTCAAGCCGTTGACACGCATGAACATGTGCAAAGCAGTAAAGCCTGGTGCTCTTCATCCTGGAGTGAAGCTTGCGGCCCGTTGTTCGGAAGCCGTGAGACCGAAAAGCCGTTTTGCGCACTTTGCGTGCGATATGGGCGGCCCCTTTGAAGCCCCTGCCATCCGCTCCAAGCCCCCCCCCCCGAAACACCCCAACATGCCCAAAATACCCCAAGTACTTAAAATTCCCAAGAAGGAGCTCCTGTCTCCTTTGGGGTGGCTCAGGTCCGCAGGCGATTCTCAGATTTTGTGACTCTGCCGCGCCCTCAGGGTTTAAGGAAACCATACAGGACTTTTGCAGGACCTCTGTTTTAGATGGAGGGTCTAGGGGACTTGAAGTTTAGCGGTTTCAAGTTTCTTTGTGCGCGGAGCTTTGACATGCCCAGCAAGGCTATGAGGGTTCTGCCTTAGGCTGAAAAAGCTGCCAATCAGCCCTGTCCTGGCTTGCTTCGTGACCCCAAACCCTAAACCAGAAACCAAGCCAAACCACAAATCACCCCTAAACCCTACACCCGAACACCCCTGAACCCAAAAAAAATCCCAAAGCTCCCCACCCCCCAAAGTAGCTTTTTCGTGCGCGTGGTAGCATGTCTGCTCATGCCAACGCGCTTGAAAGACTGGCTGGCATGGAATTTTGACCCATCGGCTGACAAAGGCACGACTTCCTGAAGCTCCAGTTCGGGCCGGGCTTTCAGACTTTGGGGCTCAGGGTTTAAGGGGTTTTCAGGGCTCGAGGCTTCGAGATCCAACATTGGTTGCTGTTGGCAGACCCTTAAACCCATCAAGCCCTATAACTCCAGAAGGAGGAGAAGGAGGGGAGGATGAGCTGTAGTAGCTGTTGTTGTCATGGTCATGGTGGTAAAGGTGCTCGCAATTCTAGTCGTCGCTGTCATCGTAGAACTGCTACTAGCTGTAGTACTAGTACCCGGCCTGGCACTAGCACTTGCATTAGCACTTCACTGGCACTACTAGTCATATTGTTTCTATTAGTTGTAGTGATATTCGAGGTTGGCTCAAATAGGGGTCTTCTGTGTGTTGTTTTGGGGGGAAGGGGTTTCGTATAGGAGGCAACATACTAGTTAGGGGTGTCTTGGGACATACCCCTATGAGTGTGAACACCGGTTCTTTGCATCCGGCCCATGATGTTGCCTCATGAGTCGCAGCAAAGCATTTGGCGATAAGCCTGGTGGTTTTCATACTTGTGGTTTAGGGTGTAGAGTATACGGGCTTGTGTCAAAATTAGGGGTCCCTTAATGGGGCATCCCTATAGTACGATTCTTACTGTTTCGGTTCTATATGTAAGGGATCTCTATTTTGAGGCATACTCGCATGCCGAGACCCTGGACCCTAGTTCTTATGGCACAAGCTTGATTCGAGGGTATGCAAAGCCTTTTCTTCTTTGCTCATCACATCCTTCTCTGCTTTCATGGAACTGCTACTAGTGCTCAAGCCACGGCGGACTTCGGGGCGGTGAAATCCAAAGTAAGGTGGCGAAAGCTCTCAAAACCTTGAGCCTCCAAACCCAAAGCCCTAAGAGCCCCAAAGATTTGCAGGTCCAACTTGCCCATGGAGCTGCCCAGCAAGACGCCGATCAGGTACTTCAGTCCCTTGGCTGGCAGGGGGTCTTCCCTTGGTTGGCTTCAGAAAACTCAGGGCTTCTTGGGGGGTTTGCTGCTGGTTTTTTTTATCGGCTCCGAGCGCGAGCAGTTGCAAGGCGCAATGGGTTTTGCGCTTTAGATGGCAGAGTTTCGGGCCAAGGTGCAGCAACTCAAGCCTTGAGCCCGAAACCCCCACCTGTGCGACACCTCGAGTTGAAAGCAGAAAAGCCCCCCCCGACAAGCAATCCCTACCTGCAGATCAGTTTGCAGACGACAAGAAGTCTCCCTTTCAAGAGTCAAACACTCAGACACCCTGCAAATCGGACCCTTGCTGAGATCAAGACAAGCTGGAGAGTCGCAAGCACGCCCTCAACGCCTACCTGAGGGAGCTGTGAGCCGTCCTGAGATTTCTACAAGGGTCCGACTGAGCCAAAAGCACCCGGGGTTTTGTTTGTCCTGATAGAGCCTGAATCAGAAGGCGGCTGAGGCTTCGGGCTTTCATAAGGTTTCCGGCTATTTTGCTTCCCGGGCAAGGCTTGTTCTGACTCGGCGCAGTGCTTCAGTGACATCAAGCCCCCTTCGATACAAAAGCTTCATGTTCAAGGTTTCCGCCCTCACCCCTGAGAGCTTCGCGGAGTTCAGTCTTTCGGCACCTTTCACTCTCTCCTCTTTGGATCCAAGGCCGGCGGGGCGAGATGACGCAGCTACAGGAAGTGCAGCGGTTCTTCGGATGCCAGGCGCAGGCTGGGTTTTTCCAGGTTCCTCAACGAGCAAGAGCTTGCCCATGGTTCAGGGCAGCAACATCTGAGGTTTAGGCAGCACGGACGAAACCACCACGCTTGAAGATGTCGCGTATTTAGAACCTCACATTTGCTACTCTTCAAAAGACCTTCCGTTCATACAATCTTGTCACGCAGGTGGCCCCGCCGCAAGAAGGAGGAGCGCAATCTTTCCAGGGCTACCCCGCACAGCGCGAGCCGGTGCCCATTGCCTTCGCCCCGGTGTTCAGTGTAGAAGCGAGCGGGGGCCACACTGGGACTTTTAAGGGGATGCAGTTGATCCTGAACCCCAAGCATCCTAAAGTCCCAAACCCGTCAGCACAATTGAGCAACCAAAGACCTCAATCCTTCGGAAGGATTGAGGAGGGCTTGGGCTTGATGGCTTAGTGGGTTTCAGGGGGTAGTTGAGGGCTTGCCGCACTTAGAAATAGTGTAGGGCTTCGGGGCCCGCTGGACCCAAACAACCGGATCTCCCAACTCTTCAGCCCGGAGACCCTATCCCCTCTAGGCGAGGAGGGGGAGAGCGAGCGAGCGAGCGCGAGAGAGAGAGAGAGAGAGAGAGCGAAAAACCAAGCTTAGGGCTTTGAGTGCCTCCATGATGGGAGGATCCCGCATCCCGCGGTTAAGGACACTATGACACAATGCGAGTAGTATTAGAGGGTGGCGATTCTTCCAACCACAATCTCCTCCAAGGTTGTCGGCGCTGCGCCCGGCAAGCGCCGGTCTCAGAACAGATGATGGTTCCGGCTTGGGGCTTGAGGACCTTCAGGTTGAGGGTAGTATATCAAAACCCTTATCGTGGAGATGCACTGGAATTACAAACTGAACTGCCACGGTGCGGGTGTGCGAAGAAGGTACGCAACCAATTTACCATCTGCTGCCTCTCTTGATTAACGCGGGCGTTCTCTCGATCAGTCTTTGTTACTGCTCGTGCATGCTGGCAGACTTGCACTTAGGGCGAAGTCCATTCTGACCTCGTGATCGATTGAAACTGAGACACCCAAGAGCAAAATAGCATGGCGGAGTCTGCCACAGAGCAATGTTTTAGAGGGCGTCGGCCGGGGAACAACCACAAGAAACAACCACAAAACCCGGACACTCCACGCTCCCTCCCCAGGCAGTGCACGGAAAAGCTTCCCCAATACAGCTCATAGTACCCCGAGCACTAAATTTAAACTTTCATTGCCCCAGTCTACCAGAACCCTCCAACCCTCGAAAGCCTGTCATAACTTTTTCAGTTCAAAGCCCTCCCGCCCGCGATGCTCCGCTTGCTGAGGCCGATCGCGCGCAGCGACTCGGAGGACGACCTGGCAGGGTCCGGCCTCCAAGCCCGCACTTCATGTACCCTCAGCCCTTAATGCCACACTTCTATTTCTATATATCTATCTGTCTATCTATCAATCAGTCTATCTATCTCTCCCCAAGCCCTGAAACCCTAAAACACGGAGTGGTTGGGGCTTGCGGGGGTTGCACGTTTTTGGCGTAAAGACTCCGAAGCAATGAGACCCAGAACGGAATACAAGGGAAGGATATGAAGGCATTTGGGTTTGGGGAATCGAGCCCGAACAAAAATTTGGGATGTTGGTTGGGGTGGGGGGGGGGGGGGGGGCCTCAACTCTGCAGGATTATGCCATTCTACTTGTCTGCAATTCCTCCGAGCCAGAGCCGTAACACCATTGGCTGTGCAGGTGGGAGCGATAGCGGCCAGCTCCGACCGGAACAGAAGGAGAAGGACACTCTGCCAGGGTCTTAAAGCCTCAAACCCTCAAAACCCGTAACCCGAACTTCATGCTCGTTGAACCAGTAACCCTAAAACCCCTGAACCCCTCAGAGGCTCAAAGGTTTGAAGCCCACAAGCCTCCAAAGCCCAAACCCCAAAATCCCTAGACCCTACATCTTTCCTGAACCAGGCTTGCGGGGCTTGTCGTAGGGTTTAGGACTTAAGTTTTCCAGGGGTGTTTGCCAGTCCCCAGGCGGGTTTCAAGAAACTCTGGACTATTGAAACAGATCCGTGCTCGTCGGGCTTCCAGCCTTGGATCTGGAACGCTTCATCTCTCTCTCCGTGCCCACTGAACTTGGGGGCTTGGGGGTTCAGGGCTTGCAAGGTTCCGCCTCAAGCAGTTGTCACCCTGATGCCTTCTTTGGCTTTGGCTTTGGTTTGCCGCTTCGGGCGCCTGGGGCTTAAAATTGTACGACTTCTCACCATTCTCACCTGTGTCGAACTTGCCAACCGACACCCCAAGCTCCCAACAGCCTGATTGCTTCCATGGATTGCCCGGGGTAACCCGGAAGCCTTCTTGGATGGAGTCTCTGGCGTTTAATTTAATGCCACGTTGAAACCCCACCCCTCTTAGCCCAGAACAGCGCCGCGCGGGAGGACTCTGGCTGGGGCTTCTTGGGCCCCTTTCGCTGAGAGCGACTGACAACCACGCCTAAGGTGTGGAGTTGCCGAAAACCGATGTTTGGGGTCTGCAAAGCTAGGGCTTCGGACCTTGGATCACTGAGGGTTTAATAGGGCGCTTGCCCCGACAAGTCTACAAGTCCAAAAATTTCCTCAGCTCCCAGTTGCACAGTATATCTATCCATGCGAAACCAAGGTTCATCAGCACGCAACGAAAAGGTGTCTTAATGGGACTGTTTGGGGTTCTGAGTTCTAGGGCTTGCAGCAGGGCTCTAGGAACCCTATGTAGAAGACACCCGCATGCATTTGGGGAAGGTCTCTCAACCCTACAGACTCAGAATGCTTGAGTACAATGGAGCCCTGTGCAAATCCGTTTCAGGCTTCGGGTGAACCTGTGAGCCAATCATGTCCAGGCATCCGGGTTCCTTTAAACTCAGCCTGGAGGTCAAGAGCTTGTAAGCTCGTCAAGGGTCAAGGTGCAGGCAGAGACTAGATAAACCCTTTAAAAGAAGGGGCTTTTAGGCAATCTGCGGGTTTTAAATCGGTTCAGAAGGCTCGAGGACAGCCGCGAGAGGCGGAAAAAGGCTGGTGCTTCTTTGCGGCAGGCCGTAGGCCCGAAATCACTTCCGCAGTAAGGTCCGAAACCGTAAGAACCCCCACAGTGCAAGCACCGATTGTGAAGAAAGATGAAATTTCAAACACAACGAAGGACTTAGGCTGCGGACTCTTGCCGCTGGGTTTCAGGTTTCGGACGCCGCTCGTATTGAAGGTGAGTGCGAGGAGGCAAAGCACATGTCGAGAAAGGGCCTCGGTGTGCTAATGCTTCCAAGGACCTGCGTGATGCCCCACTGGTTCTCCAACGTGTCCGTGAAAACCATGATGGCGTTTATACTTCGGTTTAGGGCGCCGGCTTGGCTGTAGCCAAAGGGTTCTCCTGGGCGCATGCTTGCTCAAAAGGGCCCGGAAGGGGCCAACGCGCGGTCCGAGGTAGTTCACACCCAGGCCAGATGTGAGGAACAGCCGGTTCAGCAGGTTCGGGACTTCAGGCTCAGACTACAAGAACTCCCCATCCCAGAACACATCTTGAACCCGAAGGGGCCATGCCAACTCGGATCCCTGAGACCTATGGACCCTGTGTTGAGAACCCAAAGCTTTGTTTTGCTGTGAGTAATAACGATGGGGGCTGCGAGCAACGATTGGGAAGTCCTCGAAAGCCCAGCCTACAAAACGACAGATGGAGATAAGATTATATATATATATATAAATATAAATAAGTAAATAAATAAATATATATATGCTACCCCCCCCCCATGGACCTACCAATTTCCTTTGTTTTTATCCATGAATTTCGCGGTCTAAGCCACATGGTTTGAAAACCATGGGTTTTATGGATAACATTTGTTTTGCCGATGTTTTCGGGCTCCATCCTTCAAAAACATTGGTAAAACCAATTATCCGTGAATTGGGTGCTCCCAGCCACATGGTTTGAAAACCATGGATTTTATGGATAACATTGGTTTTGCCGATGTTTTCGGGCTCCATCCTTCAAAAACATGGGTAAAACCAATGTTTTCCATGATTTTCGTGATCTGAGGCTCTCTCCCAGCCACCATTTCTCGAGGTAGTACCAAGCAACAAACTCGAATCCTGCAAAATCTCGAGGGAGTACCAAAACCTCCTTATAATCAATCACGCCCCAATACGCAAGACATGACATCTGTCCTAAAAACACTACCTTAGCTACGATATCTCAAACAGTCATCCCCCGATAAGCAAGACCTAATATCTATACTAAACCTGTACCTTAGCAACATATCTTAAGACATCACGCCCTAAGGCTCCTACCAATTTAATAAGGTTCCTATCAATTTCAACAGGATTCTTATGCATGTTACTGGGATTCGCATAGGATTCTCATTAATTTTAAAGGATTCCTATTGGATTAGGCTCATACTAGTTTAGTAGGATTCCTATCAGTTCTTGTTAAAGGATTCTATTGTTTTTAAGGCCTATTGGTTCCTATTGATTTAGAAAGATTCCTTCTCGTTTTAATAGGATTCCTGTGACTTGTAACCCGGGTTGTTTCCAACTTGTTAAGGTTCCTATTCATTTTAATAGGCTTCCTATTAACTGTTGTCCGGTCCCGATAATTCAATAGAGGATTCCTATTTACTTTCATAGGATCCCAATAAAGTTTCATAGGGTTCCTAATTATTAATAAGGCCCCTATTTTCTGTAATAAGAGTCCTATCAATTTTAATCAGACTCTTATTCATGTTAATGGGGTTCGTGTTAATATTAAAGGGATCTCATTCACTTTCAAGGGATTCCTGTTGGTTTAGGCTCATGTTCATTTTAATCGGTTTGTCTAAAGGTTCACGTTATTTCTTATAGGAGTCCGATTGGTTCCTATTAATTTGAGTAGGTTTCCTCTTCAGTTTAATAGGATTCCTACTAATCCTATTAATTCTACGAAAATGTTGGGAGAGTACCAAAACCTCCTTACAATCAATCACGCCCCAATACGCAAGACATGACATCTGTCCTAAAAACACTACCTTAGCTACGATATCTCAAACAGTCATCCCCCGATAAGCAAGACCTAATATCTATACTAAACCTGTACCTTAGCAACATATCTTAAGACATCACGCCCTAAGGCTCCTACGAATTTAATAAGGTTCCTATCAATTTCAACAGGATTCTTATGCATGTTACTGGGATTCGCATAGGATTCTCATTAATTTTAAAGGATTCCTATTGGATTAGGCTCATACTAGTTTAGTAGGATTCCTATCAGTTCTTGTTAAAGGATTCTATTGTTTTGAAGGCCTATTGGTTCCTATTGATTTAGAAAGATTCCTTCTCGTTTGAATAGGATTCCTGTGACTTGTAACCCGGGTTGTTTCCAACTTGTTAAGGTTCCTATTCATTTTGATAGGCTTCCTATTAACTGTTGTCCGGTCCCGATAATTCAATAGAGGATTCCTATTTACTTTCATAGGATCCCAATAAAGTTTCATAGGGTTCCTAATTATTAATAAGGCCCCTATTTTCTGTAATAAGAGTCCTATCAATTTTAATCAGACTCTTATTCATGTTAATGGGGTTCGTGTTAATATTAAAGGGATCTCATTCACTTTCAAGGGATTCCTGTTGGTTTAGGCTCATGTTCATTTTAATCGGTTTGTCTAAAGGTTCACGTTATTTCTTATAGGAGTCCGATTGGTTCCTATTAATTTGAGTAGGGTTCCTCTTCAGTTTAATAGGATTCCTACTAATCCTATTTATTCTACGAAAATGTTGGGAGAGCACCAAAACCTCCTTACAATCAATCACGCCCCAATACGCCAAGACATGACATCTGTCCTAAAAACACTACCTTAGCTACGATATCTCAAACAGTCATCCCCCGATAAGCAAGTCCTAACATCTATACTAACACTGTACCTTAGCAACATATCTTAAGACATCACGCCCTAAGGCTCCTACCAATTTAATAAGGTAGGATTCTTATGCATGTTACTGGGATTCGCGTAGGATTCTCATTGATTTGAAGGGATTCCTATTGGATTAGGCTCATACTAGTTTAGTAGGATGTTAGAGGATAAAAACCATGATTTTTCAAACTACTCGGAGACCCAAGCCCATAGTTTGGAAAATCATGGTTTTTATGGTTTTTATTGGTTTTTGCGATGTTTCGTGAGCATGGGCTCAAAAAACATCGGTAAAACCAATGTTTTTTTGAAGGTAGGGGTTCAAAAACATCGGTAACACCAATGTTTTGGAGAGGCCACCTTCAAAAAACATCGGTAAAACCAATGTTTTTGGAGCCCCTGCTCAGGAAACATCGCAAAAACCAATAAAAACCATAAAAACCATGATTTTTCAAACTACTCGGAGACCCAAGCCCATAGTTTGGAAAATCATGGTTTTTATGGTTTTTATTGGTTTTTGCGATGTTTCGTGAGCATGGGCTCAAAAAACATCGGTAAAACCAATGTTTTTTGAAGGTAGGGGTTCAAAAACATTGGTAAAACCAATGTTTTGGAGAGGCCACCTTCAAAAAACATCGGTAAAACCAATGTTTTTGGAGCCCCTGCTCAGGAAACATCGCAAAAACCAATAAAAACCATAAAAACCATGATTTTTCAAACTACTCGGAGACCCAAGCCCATAGTTTGGAAAATCATGGTTTTTATGGTTTTTATTGGTTTTTTGCGATGTTTCGTGAGCATGGGCTCAAAAAACATCGGTAAAACCAATGTTTTTTTGAAGGTAGGGGTTCAAAAACATTGGT